ATGTTATTATACGCAAAAAAACCGAAAAATTTTGCGCTTTATACTACATATTCGAATTCTATGCTCCCCTGAAAGTAGGCAGTGGAATTTATGTGTTTACATTTTTATATTTATAAGTTATAAAATAACCTTTTTTTTTAGAAATTATAAAGAATTGAGTTGTTTTACAAGCTTTGTAAGCCTTAATATCCTGGATACTATATGTCGGCTTATATAATACATTCATACAATAAATAGATATTTATATAATCCATTTTATAAGTCGTGCCGAGTTATATACTGCGTGGAAAGAAATGAGCGATGTGTGCAAAGTTCGAACCTTACAGCTTTGCAACTGAAACAGCAGTTTCATAGAAATATAAGAATATAATTTATAAGGTCGGAGATGTCAAAATTGTAATACCCTCTGCAAGGGTATAAATATATTATACTAAGCCTACGATTCGATTGATAATAAATTCCGTAGACAAGGCTTTCATTTGTCATGGCATTTTTTATTTCTTGATCTTTCTTAATTTCAAGAACCTATAAATTAATTATTTTTCGTGTATATTGAGCTAACTAGTTACTTTATTTGGCTTTATATTTAATTTGGAAGTTTCCATGCTAATCTAACCGTGTGCGATCAGAGAAATAAATCCATTTTCGTGTCACATGCCGAAATCAATTTCTAATAAATAGTGTGTTTCTTCTGATTAAAACCATTCGAAATCTATCTAATAGATACACATGCTCATGTGAGCGATTGAGCCGCACGCATTCTGGCCAACACGCACTCAGATACTCGGATACTCGGTTACACGCACACAGCCACGCTGAATAAAGAAATATGAGTATGCAAATAAGCTTAAAGCGCACAATCGCAATCAAAAACGACAAGAACAATAACTAACGTAGCGGTAAAGTGTTTAGACACGCAATGTCAATAAAGTATCTTATCTGTAGAACGTATATAGATACATTGAGAGGGCGATGGTTTCGGATACGGATACGGATACGATACTCGCTCTCATTTTCTTTTTGAATCTCATATAATGCACGACATCGCTGTCCCACCGTTTTTTGTTATTCATTTTTTTCCTTCTTTTTTTTTTTTGGTTAGGAACGGGGGGAACCGGTGAAAAGGGGATTGGGGATAGTGGTTGGGTGTGGAGTGGGAGCGTTGGCCATTGAATAATGCGTGCCTACGAATTCTGATTATATATCGCACGGGTCGAGGGCAGAACAAAACCAAAACAATGTCAAAGGGTTCGGTTTCTGTTGCGGGCAGTCGGCTTCAACTCAAAGCCTGCAAGTTACACTTTTCAAAATAAGGTTCTATATTAAAATAATTAACTTATCTTAATTAACTAATAAGAAGGTTCTATATTAATATAATTACCTTTTTTGGTGGAGGAATACTCAACTTAAAAAAATAATAATTTTCCTTGATACAAAAATGTTTTTTATTTTCTTCTAATTAAGGAATATTTTCTTTGAGTGCTTTCGCAGTATCTATGTGAACAGAGGTGCGTTTGTGTCGGTGGCACTGATCTTTGCATGTTTGAAAAACATTTTAGCATTCAGGGCGTGGCAAGTGCGTAGCGGCCAGACTGATGGATACAAAGAGATGGAATGAAGCGGTGGATAGACGGACCAACAGCGGGTCGAAAATTGCAAATTGAAATGTTACAGTTAAGCACGTATTAGCCACGTATGTATGTACGTAATACGTATGTATCTCAGGGCATAGGTCTCCTATAAGCGTATGAGTTTTGGCCAGATTATGTGTGTGTTAGTGTGATTTTCAGCGATAAATCGATGCGATTCGATGGGATGTATAGATTTCGCCAACATCGGGAATTTAAGGGCCTTCCACTCCGGGCCAGAACGGAATCATTCGCCATAAACCGTTAATGAGCCGCAGCACGAAAACATCGGATGTTCGAATATTCGAGCTGCCAGAAATTGAGATACCCTCGAAAGATACAAATTACTATGGAGTTAACCTTGCAACTACAGGTAATGACTTTAACCTGCTGTAAGTTCAAGCGATTCTATAAAGCATTCTGACTTCAGACGTGTGATTTCCATGCTAATTGATGGCAGGTTTATGAATTGCCTGTCCTCCTACAAAAAAAATGAAATAAAAGAAATAAAAACCAAATAAAGACCGACTGAGGTGAATCGGAGTTGTGTAAGCGAGCGTTCCCCATTGATATGCTAATTTTAATGGCCAAATAATCGCATGTATCTGGCTTGTAACAGGCTAATAAATTGATTAAATTCTTTGGCATTTATTAGGAAGTTGTCATTAAGTCATCAGTGCGACGGCGATGCTGCGACTAATTCGGCCGCTGCCATTAATTGCTGCCTTTTCGCTACAAACAGCTCGCATACAAGCCAACAAGCCGAGAAACAAAGCCAACATTTGGCAGAGTCGTATGTAAATTAGCCAGAAACACAGGCACTCCGCCAGCGATTGGTATTTATAATAAATGTTGGAGTGAAGAGAAACACATGTTAGGCATGTGAAAATGGGATTTTAAACGTTTAAGCCGAAACGGCTCCCGCCACTGACTACTCTACTCCCCAGTTTTGCATAGAAACCCCCTGAGGTGGGATGATGCGATGCTGCGATGATGAGACCCATGACGGATGCTCCGCAAATGCAAATGTGAATGGAATCGTAGGGATAGTGGGGAAATGGGAATTGGAATGGTCTCCTCGCAATACACAATGGACTCGACTTCTACAGAAATCGCTTCAAAGTATCTCCAGCAGTTGTTCCTTTTCTCAAGAGCACGCGATCGCACCGTTTCGTGTTTCCATTAGCCGACACAGATGTATCTCTCGCGGTGCGGTTTGTTTACGTGGCGTAGATACATCTTGCTATTTTTACATTGCATCCCGCATTACTTCTTTCAATTCTAAACATTCCGTGTATTTCTTCTTAATTTGCTCGTTGCTCTTCTTTTTATTGAGCACCTCGGCAGTCAGAGAATATTTATTGATGATATGACCACACCTATTTTATGGTCTATCTTCCAGTTTTTGGTCGGTCGATTGGTGCCAAATATAGCCACAAATCCCTGGTGTTAAGTCCAAAATAAAAACCAAGTCGGTGGGAAGTGGAGAATGCGACTGCGGCCAAGGCAACCGATTGGTATTTGTGCACTGAGGAAACTGGATTTAAAATTGTGGGTAACACTTTTACATTTTTAAAGCTATAAATTGTCAGAAAAAACCTATATGATACACATTTTTAAATTCAATCATTTTAAAATTTCTTAGAAAAATGTCCCTAACTTTATAAAGGCAAGATTAATTTAATTTTAAGACTCACAATCCATTAATATCCATGATATATATATTTTCTCTCAGTTTCGAGGAAGAGAAATGGGAAGTGGGTGGCTGTCAAAGTGGGAGTGGGTCTAGGGATTGGATTTGGTATTGGTACTGACTCCCGAGTGCACCGCCGTCTCACTTGAGAATTCTCACACCTCATGGATGTCAGACGGAGTTTTTGGGGAGCTTGTTTAGATGGCGATGCGATGCGATGCGGCGCATTCCCGTTCACGTGCCAGGCTTTTGATCTGTTTAGCATTCCGTGGCACATCGGAAAGTCGTAACTATTGACAAGATCTGGAGCACCGGCCGGCGGCGAGGAATTGTTCGAACACCGAAGTTCCGAATGCAGTCGAATGAATTTCGGGCCGCACTCGTGTATTTGTTTGCATTAATTTGTATATGTTACTTTAACGATTTAATGCGCAGCATGGCACCGACCCGACGCAGATTCCGTAGAATACGAGGAGGGCGCGAGTACTGGTGGGCGCAGTGGTGTCGATGCGGGGCATCCTATACAGTTCGATCCCCCATTCCCAGGTGATTGCACTCGGTGGCTTTGGGGCTTTGAGGAGGAGGGATTGGGAGGCCCCGTCGACTTGCCACGGCGCAAATTGCCCGTGTGCTTCTTTGCAACTTCCTTTCCATATCAAAGTGTGTGGATATTGCGCATCAATCACTTGATAAAGAACAACAATGGCGCACACGTATGATGAATAACATCTGCCCGATTCTGAATTAAGGCGCAATGTTTTGCCGCAAAAATATCCATATATGTTTATACATATATCCGCATATGTCTGCTCTTCTGTGTTTTGTCGGGGTTTATGGAAATCCACTTGAAAAGCTGGGTCGACTTATGGACTTGTTCCGTCAAAGAATAAACACATTGATTGATAAGTGAATAATTCAGTCGGGCAAATATTGTTTGGTTTAATTAATTTCCAATTGAGCATCCTATAGGTGTTGTATTAACAATTATTTATTGCCGAAGACCACTTTCGACGACCATGAATTTTCACTCAATAAAAATTATAATAATGATAAACAGTTTTTAAATAGATTTTAAAATTGAATACAAAACTTTTCATTAAATTTCCAGCAGAGTTCTAATTCGTCAATATAGATACTTGGTCTTTAAACAAAAGTACATAAAGTTTAGCTTTATGTTTGCCCAAGTTCTTGCGCAATCCAAAGCCGGCCCAAGGAATATTGGGCAAAACAATTATTCATCCGTTAAGTAGGGAGTTTCTGGGGACTGATAGGACATGGTGTAATCGTGTCTAGCTCTAATTACTTTTACAGCGACAACTTTTATCGCTCGTCGCAGCGAATATCTCCGGTTTGCAGACCAATCTTCACGCATAAATAAGTATCAGGAGGGCGGGGTGCCTGGGTATGGGAAAATTTGTCAATCCATGTTTGGCAGTGCGTAGTTTATCCAGCTTTAAAGGCCCAAAGGTTCGGGTCAGTTGGGGTAAGACGATACTGTACGATATTCGGCTCTGTTAAAGCCGCCCCAATGTCGTATGCCAAGTTTCGAGGTTCGTGCGCGGTGTGCTGGTAGTGCTCTTTCTCTTCGGCTGGTTTTTCGAAAACCGAATTTCGATTCGAACTGAAATCAAAGCAGACGTCGCGAGAAGTCGTATCTGCTGGATACCTCGCCGAGCACGATACGCGTATTCAGTAGATACGCGAAGCTATAACGGTACACATGTTGCTGTCGGAAAATGCGAGCGGCCCAAGTGGAAATGTAGCCCAATCCGTTCGCTTCAGGGTATCCGTTTAAAGAGCTCCCTCGCACACACACTCGCACAACCGCACACACATACACACACACACACACATACAAAGCCACGCACAAGTGTCCTCGGCTCTCACCACCACTGTCGCAAGTGCGTCCGCCGCTCGAGTATCTGTGTGAGTAGAAGAGGTGTTTGCCATTGTGCTCAGATACAGGATTTAGTGCTGAAGTGCTTAATAAAACCATCATAAAACCGTCGAAAGTGATAAATGCAAATCATTCTAAATAAAAATAACCAATTGCTGAAGTGTGCGCCTCTAACTGGGCCAATAACAACAAATAACATCCGAATAGTCGAGTGGTAATGCATAAAAAAGTTATATTTGCCGGTTTGCCTCGCAGAGCTACACAAATATTTGTCATAATTAAATTTAAAAGCCCAAAGCAACAGAAACTTAATCACCATTTTAAAGCAAGCAAACAAAAGCTAAATGTGATGTTTAAGTCTTAAGACTTAAAAGCCAAATTCATGGAATTCCCCACTCAAATTCAATATAATAACTTTCTCAGAATCCTTGAGGATTATCAAAATATTTATATATACAATATATATGCTTTAAATAAGAAATCTTATGAAAATCCTGAACGACTAAAATAGCAACAAACGTTGCCGCGGCTGACTTTGAAAACAGCTCCACTTCACTCCAGTTGCCACCACTTCAGTGGCTCCACTTCACTCGAAGGAAGGGCTCCGGCTCCACGGCTCGCTGCTCGGTTTGCGGTGCCGTGCCTCGAGTTCGTCGATAATTGGAATTTACGACTGTGGCATAAAAGAAAAAAAAAAAGAAAAAAAAAATAAAGCGAAAAACCAGCTAGCAGAATACGGACTACAAGGATATAGCCCAAGCACGGGCTCGTCGCTGTTGTTTGGTGACTCGTGCCCGAATCCCTCACTCCCCAGCCACCACTCCACTAACCCATCCCCCAAATCCCTATTCCGCTCCCTTAAACAGTCCTTCGATAGTCGGGTGCCGTGTAAATATTTTTTTGTCATCGCTGCTCCGTGTGCGGTTCAATTGGCCCTGTCAGTGGCAGGCGCGCTGATTTGTTATGGTAATAGTTGTCAAAACGAGAGGAGATTCGAGAGATCCTCCTCGGCGGCACTTGATTACACTTACATGGCCACAATGACAGCCATACACATATATATATATACTGACGTATGTTGTAGTGTATCCTTGTTGTAGTGTAGTGTGAGATTAACGAAATCAAAACTAAGTTGTAGTGGGAGGTGCCAGTGTAAATCTCGTTCAATTAGGGGTACAATCGGTTCTTGTGCTCGTTAAGAGGCTCCAATTACTATCTTTCGGTTTCATCGCAGATTCAACTCAGACGGCGTGTCTGTGGCTCATTAGAAGAAATACTGGTCCGCAATAAAATCAAACTCGATAGAAGCAAAAACATAACAAAAGCAAACCAAATCCAAACTCAAATCCAATTCAAACCAAGCAAACTAAACTAAAACAGTTTCGCCTATGGGCTATGGGCAGGCAAGGCAATAAAAACAACATGGAATATTGAATGAAATCGGCCAGCATATATGCACATACATTAGCAGGTGAGTTATCTGGCTGCTTATTTCCCTTAAAATTTATGCTCATGCATATCTGCATAATCGCAAATTAAGCTACATAATTAATAAGCCAGGAGGCAGCCTCGGCGCTGTCACTTGGCGTTGATGTAGCACTTTGGGGAGCTATCAACCGCCTTTGCCTGATTTTGCTTTGGCTCTGGCTTTAGCTTCTGGCCATCTTTAAACACACATATCGACATGGCTATATGCTTGTATGTATGGTGTATTTTGAGGACTGTCTGTGTGTGTGTATGAGTACGTGCCACTGCAGTGCACTGCCTTCCGAAAAGTATCGATGTCTGTAATCTTAATTAGCAACACCACAGCAACCGGCAACAGAGACAACCATCGACCAGTAACCCGGGCTTAAAAATATCTTTTAGCATTTCAGGCCTGGGTATCCGTACCGACTTGCCGCCTTTTCCTGTGTTTTTCTTTGCACTTAAAAAAAGCATACAAAAACATAGTTTTTTTAACAGAAACATCAGGCTTCGTTAATTATATGTTACAGGTAACTGATATGCCAAAAAGTAATGATTTACTTGCCCAAGAAAAAAAGTACATATTTATCGTATAGGTAAAAAAATTTGCTTAAATCAGAACCGTTTAAAAGAGATATCATTTTAAAAATACAAAAATATCTAACTAAACTTCACTAAAAGATACACAGCTCAACTCAAGGTGAATCCCATTTTAAATAATAAACAACAATTGGGCTTTGAAAATTATAAATAGTAAAAAGTAATTGTATTCATTCAAAAGTAAATGATATGCTCATTATTAAACAGGATGCTTAGCTAATGTTATTCTTAGAAACAATTTCCTTAGCCTTAAACGTTTTTTTCTGTGTTTATGCTTTTTCTGGGTGTTTCTCACAAAAAATCACATTACATTGAAAGCCGAAACCGGTTTCGGTTGATTTCTTGTCATATTTCGTGTAGAAGCTAAAGGTGTTTTGTACAAATGGCCAGCAAACTAAACAAACCAAAGTCGCCGGTTAACTGGCAACAACCGGCTGCCCATCAAAGAGTTATTTATACTTAATAATGCAAACGATGAGTCCATGAGGAGACCGGTGCCCCTTCATCTCCTTGCCCCATAAAAACGAAATGTCCGAACAGCATCCCTAGTTGTAGGTAGTTTGTTGGGGTATGCAAATATCTTTGATCTGCTTTCAGGCTGAAAAATTCGCACCTCCATGTGCGAACAAAGCGCCCATGGGGCCATCGAGTTGAGTGCATAAGAAATCAAGTTTACGACTTCTGGGGATGGGTTGGTTTTCGTCTGAACATAGGGGATTAATTTTAGCGGCTGTTGGCATTTTAATTGCTTCCATTAGAAACCGCTTAGCAACTTTAAGTGGCAGCCAGCGGTTGGAAATTGAAATTACAGGTGTAAATTCGAATTCCCTGTTTATGCATTTGCGGTCCAAAGCCCAGATGGCCTTTTAAAATTTTACTGCGACACCTTCAATCAACCAGTCGGAAAATCGCTTTGTTTGCTTTACAGACGCATTTTGTAATGCATTGTCCATGATGGAAATATTATTTCATTATTTTGTAAAGTAAAAACGAGATAAATAATTAATAAATCAACGCATCTATTGTTTATTCTTTGGCGCAATAAAAACAGATAAAAGCTAATGAATTTTAAATAGTGGAGAATTCAAGTTCATTCCGGCAACCGGTTCTCGTTGGCCAGTTCGGTTTGTCAGCATTCAAAATATTTAGTTGAAAATGACCAAAAGTGGCTAACACAAAGGGGCTAAAAGCAAAGCGTCGCAAATAGCCCTACAAATACCCTTGGATATCCATCAAATAAAAGGCAGTTTGGTGATTGAAAAGATACATGAAATTAAATGAGCAGTTGATTGATCTTTTTTCATTATTGTAATTTGAGTTTGGTTTTATTTTTGTTGTAATTTGTGGGATATTTTTGTGGTTAAAACCACCGAGAAAATTTATGTTTTGTTGATGGCTTCGTCCATAGATACATATTTATGAAAAAATTTGTTGTCTTACTAATTATTTTTTCTTGAAACTTTATTTATTTCAAATCACTTATCTTAGCCAATATACCCTTGAAAGGGTATTTGTGAAAACTTATCCCTTTGACCACTGTTTTGGGTGTTTTTTCTATATCTTGAGTTTGGGCCAAGTGTTTGGCTATCACATTCATAGGCAAATTGTGGACGGCATATTTATGAGGAGCTTTTTCGAAGAGCGGGAAATGGAATATCGTAATAATTAATTAAGTTATAACATTAAATGGCCATAAAGGGGCATTAGGCCCATAACTTTGAGTGGACATATGAGCATGAGCGATGCCACTTGACTGGAATCTCAACTGGAATCTCAACTGGAATCTCGGATATTCGTTACCACTAGACCCATAACTCTTTCCCCCCTTTTGTTATCGACTATGGAGATCTGACCCGTAGATGAGGAGGATTTGGCCATATGCCTGGCCTTTGGCTCTGACACATTCCGACCATCATCATCATCATCTTTTACGACTCTCCAACTGACTGACAGGCAAATCGTGGTCATACTTTCTTGGCCAAATATCTGGAAAGCTTACTTTACTTTTCCCGCCTCGTGCGAATGATGTTGTCAGTTTTGATTTTTGGTTTTTGGCAATGTCAGCCATGTGCCAAACAAATGACTTCACATTTTTAAAGATATTACGTTGACATACTCGGCCACAAACTGAGTGCCTACTCGACCGCAGATGCGTCATGAATTCCATCCTGGTCATGAGCTCAGAATCTAATCGGATTGCGGCTGTATGATTATAGTTTCGAGAAGCTGCTATCTGTAGTTGCCACGAAACTATTATATTAGTTACACTTCATCGAATTGTTAAGAATCGCAAAACTGTGTGGGAAGTGCTGATTCCAGAACGCATTGTTCTTTAAAATACTTGTGATTTATTAGCCAAATGAATGGAATTGACAGCGGTTATTAATTGTGGCCGAGCGAACAATGGACACGTTTAACAAAACAAAGAAAATCATATTTAAATTTATGCCCTTGAGTCTGGCCAAATGAAGTCGGCCAATCGTTTTTGTTTGAGAGCCTACCTTCGTATCTTTCCTTTAAATATGGTAAATGCTTTCAAAATTCCCTCCAGCATTTTCCATAAACTATTTTCATTGCTAATTGAGTTAATTAATCAAAGCAGGGCAAAAATATTTTAGTAATTTTCACAAGAATATTCAAAAGCCTTTTAACAAATAATAATAAGTTTAGAGTCTGTACTTATTTGAATTGGTATTAAATCTTAGAATATTTTGCCTAAAAATCTTTTATCTACGAGTAATTTATTTTTAATTTTGTGGTGCATTCTGTCAATTATATTCCATGCCTTTAGTTTATTAGTGCAAACCGGAATTTACCAAATATAAATATGTCATATATGTACATGTATGTGCATAAATAATTGAAAGTTATATACATACATACCTGTATACCTGTAAGTTGGACACCTAGTTGACGTTGATTCCTTCATTAAGAGAAGACAATCTAAAGCTCTAAAATTAAAAATGTTTCATCACCAAATCATCACAATAACTTTTTTATTTCCCAAAAACGTCTTTTAATTCTAAAAAAACGTGTCATAATTTTGGGTTGGGTAAGCATTATAAATAAGAAATCTTATTAAGACTGGTTCATTAGGTGGTAAATTTAACCTTTAGCATTAGGATTTGACAAAAAACCAAAACATTGCCACCCATTGCCATTTCAGCACTCATGTTGGGTTATTTAAAAATTAAATAAATTATATTCAATGCTTTGGCATACATATTTTGTGAAGAATTTATATTCATTTTCCTTGTTGTCACTAATTTATTAAATTACTGATTTGTGCAGTCAAAGGACAGCCAATTATCCATAATAGCCCGCAAATTCCAAATCATGGACGAGAATGCGACAAGCTCTCGATTGCTATGAGAAAAGTCAAAGGAAAAGTCTTTCAAAGCGAGAATTTCTAGTAAACGAGAAAGCAAAAACCATGCATCAGGAGGAAACGTTTCAGATTATCCGAAACCGGCTGGATGAAAAGAATGAGTCGCAAGGCTGGGAGCAGCAATTCCGAAGAAAATCTAAGAGCCTTCAACCTTTGCCCTGCTCTAATACATGGAGACGCGTCCTCCTGCCATTACTTATGCTGTCGGGGATTATCCAGGTGCTTGGCTCCTACCTGGAGCCCGACGAACTCATCCAGGAGCTGGACCGTCCCGTGCCTCTGACCTCCGTGCAAGGTGTCTTGGGACGCCAGGCGATGCTTCCCTGCGATATATCGCCTCTGGAGCGGGACGACGCCGTCTATATGGTCCTATGGTTCCGCGAAGGTGACGGTGAACCCATCTACAAGTAAGTATTTTGTTAAAAGGATTTAGCTAGCACAAGTACTCTCTATTTCCAAAGGCTTACATATAATATTAACAATATTATCGGTCCTCGTTTTAGTTTCGATGTGAGAGGTCGACAATTTGGTCAGGCCCGTCTGTGGTCCTCGCCCTTGGCCTTTGGCACTCGAGCCCACTTCACCAGCACCACCCACCCCGCCCAACTGCGGATCGACACTGTACGCATCGAGGACGAGGGTGTCTATCGGTGTCGTGTCGACTTTCGCAACTCGCCCACCAGAAATCTTAAGATTAATCTCACCGTCATTGTTCCGCCGGACAGACCCATCATCTACGGCCAGAATAGGCACGAGAAGGCCGGGAATGTGGAGTCATTCAACGAGGGCAACGACATAGTCCTGTCCTGCGAGGTTTCCGGAGGTAAGAAATAAAAAAGTTTAAGGTATATTTTTTGATAAAATGCTTAAGATAAAAAGTGAATAAATTCTTTGATAATTATAATGATCCGGGCTAAACTTGTTTCGTATTTCAAATATTCCACAGTCAATGAATAAAATTAAAGGAATTTAGATTATAATCTTTACAGTAAAGATTATTAATGCTTGATTTTTATAGGAATTTTAAACAATTCCAATTCCAAGATTTCTATCTGTAAAACTACAATTTTAATAAATAAATAGTCATTTTTTTATGGAAGAAGTAAACAAATAAATATAACCAGTGTTTTAGACCAATTTTTTTTCAATTTAACCCTTTATGGGGTGTTTAATGGTATTTATTCATAATTTATTAATTATTAATTTCGCCTCAAAAAGGTCGACCCCGGCCCAACGTCACTTGGTACTTGGACAACACGGCCATTGACGAGTCTTTCGAGCAGCGGCCAGACGGCAAGACCATCAACCACCTGTCCTATCCCAATGTGGGTCGCCAGCACCTGAACTCCCGGCTGGTGTGCGTCGCCAGCAACACGAACCTTATGCCGCCCAACAACAAGGTCGTCATCCTGGATGTGAACCGTGAGTGTTGACAATAAGGAGATCTATCCGAAAAGTGCTCTTGCTTACCCAATATCTTTCTAGTGAAACCTATGGCCGTACACATACTCACCAAGGATCGGTTTGTGTCCGCGGATCGCACCTACGACGTGGAGTGCAAGAGCTCAGGGTCGAAACCACCGGCCCTAATCACCTGGTGGAAGGGCAGCAAGCAGCTGAAGAAGCTAACCAAGAACGTAAGTTTGAAGTTCACGGTTCTCGGCGTGGCACAGGTTCATAATGAATGCGCAGAGTGCCGAACTCATTAATTAAACACAAATTAATATTGTGTACTGTGTGCGTCGCTTATAATTGCCACAAATTTCCTTTTCATTTTCGCTTGAATATCGGCGCTTGGCCTTGGTTTTCCTTCGACCGCCTTTTCTCTCCATTACTGTTACTTTCGGTCCGCTTCCGTTTCATTATTCATTTCCTAATGGACTCTGTTTGCGTTTCTTTTTTAGTTTAATGAACCCGATAATCAATCTCTAAGTATACTGACGTTTACGCCCGGACGCGAGGACGATGGCAAATATTTAACATGTCGGGCAGAAAATCAATTCATCGACGGCAGCTCCATCGAGGACAAATGGCGACTCATTGTCCATTGTAAGGATATTCAGCGCGAAAGCGAGCGGGTGAAGCCTAATTGCGAATAAAAAAAATCTCTCTTCTTTTTTTGCCTTTTTCATTCTATGTGCATATAGACCCGCCCACGACCATGCTAAAGATTGGCTCCTCTTTGAATCCGGATGACATCAAGGAGGGGGACGACGCATACTTCGAGTGCATTGTGCAGGCAAACCCGAAGCCCTACAAGATGTCCTGGTTCCATAACGTAAGCAAGTCCTTAAAGAATGTGTCCTCGAATGTCTTTCAAGTCTGTGATTATCTGCACTTGGAGAAATCTTTTATAAATAATCTTAAGTCTCGCTTTACCTTTTAAAACTTAAATGCCAATAAATAAACATTAAAGTTTTATTTAAACAGTTTAGGAAATACTTGAATATGTTTTTTACAATGAAACATTTTTTCTTTCCGTTTTTAGGGCAAGGAGTTGCACCATAACATCTCCGCGGGTGTCATCCTGTCGGATCAGTCCCTGGTCCTCCAGAGCGTTTCACGAGCTTCGGCCGGCGACTACACCTGCCTGGCTGTCAACTCGGAGGGCAAAGGCCCAAGTAATCCGGTCACATTGCGCATACGCTGTAAGTAAATCGCAGCCAAATCCCAAATCGTCCCCTTCCACTTTCACCTCCATAGTCCCGCCCCATGTCTCCATACTCAAAGTCACCAAAGTTTGGCTTTGAACTAACGTCTATGTAATTTCCAATTTAATCCTTGAGTTTGAATGGCTCTTAATGTATTTAGAGTACGGGGCTCAGTGCTATATTCTGGCCTCCAGCCAAGAACAAAAGGCAGAGTAGGTGTGTCGGACCCCAATCCCAGCCCAGACCCCTTAGCTCCCTTTTCCCGCCCATGGCCTCTTGGCTCACGTTAATGACCAAGATTATGGCGCAATGAATGCATTGCCTTGGCACTTGCCCTGCCTCCCGGAATCAGACTTGGCCTGCGAGACTCCTGGCACTGCACGATATTCCAAATGACCAGGAGAGCCCGGGTCGGAATCGCTATCATCAGCCTGGGCTTAGGCCTCCCATCCCCATGCCCTAAATGATGTTGCAGCCAAATTCGAAATTTGGTATTAATTTAGACCCGTTTAAGGGTCTAAGCGTAGAAAATGTATTTTCTAAAATTAAAGTGAAGTTTTTCAAACACAAACGTAAACTTTTTTAACCCGTTTTATTAAAATATGTAAAAGATTTTGCCCCAAAAGACCCTTTTTTAAGTAAACTCCTTGAAGAAATGTTATCGTCAGTGTACACGTGCATAGCGTTTTGCCATCGATTATGGCAGCTTAATAGGGCGTTGAATATTTCAGTACGACTCTTATTACTCACTTGACTCCAATAGATGCCCCAATTTGCGCCACGGACCACGAGGAGCTACTGGGCGCCCTCAAGCACGAGACCCTGCCCCTGAAGTGTGAGGTGGATGCCTCGCCGCCGGCGGATTCCTTTCACTGGACCTTCAACTCGTCCGGCGAACAGACCGAGCTACCCGCCCGCCTGCACTCCAGCGAGGTGAGATTTCCTCAAAGTGGGCCACTTTGCAGCCTAAGTTTTGTTAACCGAATCTCTATCTATTTCCGATGAAGACTGGCATGTCCCGATTGAACTACACACCAAGTACTGACCTCGACTACGGAACGATATCCTGCTGGGGCAAGAACTCTATTGGCACGCAGAAGAGTCCTTGTGTATTTCAGATTGTGGCAGCGGGTAAGTAGTACCTTTTGTCAGGCTTATCCGGGATTAACGTAACCCTATCCGCAGGACGGCCGTTTCCTCTGCAAAACTGCTCGGTGACCAATCAGTCGGTCGACTCGTTGCAAGTGGACTGCCTCGAGGGATTCGACGGTGGCCTGCCCCAGAGATTCATGCTGGAGCTTGTGGAGCTGAACACTCTGCGGCTGGCCAGGAACATCACGGTTTCGGTAAGCGAGACAGTTAATAAGCAAAGGGATCAGAAAAAAGAAATTAAGTTCTGGCCTAATTACCATACGACCCATTATGCAAGTTTATCCGACGGTTTCTGTAATCGATAAGGGTTTAAAATGGATGCTGCCTTTCACGACACGAAAACTTTTTTAAACATTTAAAATATTTATTTAAAAATTAAAAACTAAATGGTTACAAACATTGTGAAAAAAAAATCTTTTTATCGTTCATGGAGCTTTAAAGAGTCAATTAATTTAAATGACTTTAAAATTTTTTTCTTTTAGCACACTCCTGTGACTTTTGTGATAGACAACCTGGATCAGGCAGCCACCTACCGGATGGTGATTTTTGCCGTCAATGCCAAAGGTCGTTCGGAACCCACAATCATCGACGACATCAACTTTAAGGGCGTGGCCAAGTTCACAGGTGAGAAAGGAAACAAGAACCCAAAGAGCCGAAAGAGAACCGCTCTTAATTGGGAATTATGTAACAATAATTTAATTGGGGATACACAGGTGCCTCGACCGGACTCTCGATGCCCCTCTCCCCGTTCCTGGCGGGTCTGACCCTTTTCTGTGGCCTGCTCCTCGCCATCTTCTGCATCATGCTGGCGGCCTTCTACCGGAGGCTCTCCAATCGGTACGGACTAATGGCTAATGGCTGCGGCTTCGTCCTAATGGCCTTCCATTTAAATTGCAGGCGCAGCGACAGCAACATGAAGGTGGCCAAGCACACGCAGCTCACGATTCCGGCGGACTGTCAGCTGGACCCGCTTCACCCCGGAACCCAGACGGACGGATCCGGCAACCACCAGCCGCACCACAGCCTGCTGCCCATCAATTGTGATGCTCGTAGCGCGGTTGACTGTTCCGCGCTGGGTGATGTGGGCATGGGCGGTGCGGGCGGCGGAGGAGGCGGTGGCCTAGATGGGGGACTGAAGGGCTCATCCATGGGCCTGGTGCCCATGTCCGGGGACACACTGCGCTCCACGGCCAGGACACGGCACAGTCCCTTGGCCGATGGCCAGGCGGAGATAGATGATACCGATCCCGATGTTATACCAAATCAGTATGGTAAGCGAGGAAATTTCATTATTAATTTAGAATAAAGAGTATGAGTTATTTTTAATTCCTTAAATATAAAAAAATTATAATTTATTCACTAGATTCGCTAGACGATTCAATTGAAATTCATTTTCTGTTTTGAAGGAGACACACAAATAAAGTTCTTGCATATTTTAAAACTTTCTCAAAGTTTGAAAACATTTTCTTCTAGTTTTTCACATCTTTCACAAATCCGAACAAATTAAAGAATTTAAGTTATTTTTTCAAAAAAAAATTTGCACGAGTATGAACCCGAATATCTTATGCAAAGATTATTTAAATGCATTATTCTTGATCTTGATCTTAAACTGTACTTACTTGTAATTTTTCGCAGAAAAACGTCCGCTGAAGAGCCTGGTGTCCCCGCCGGGCTTCGCCAGCCCCTCGAACCGTCTTATGCAGCGGGACTACCTCCGAGAAACGGAGCTCACCAAAGGGAGCAGCGATGTTGGCCTGGGCGCGGCGGAGGGTCTGTCCAGCATCGGACTGATGAGCAGTTCCGGGAACGAGGTGCTCCACTACACCTTCCGGCCCAGCAAGCAGATCGTGAGTATTAAGGCTTTATGGCTTTTTGGGTGGCAGTTTTAAACCGGCTCATGCTCTTCCATGGTGCTCATCTCGGGGCTTTCTTTTCCATTTTCTTCTTCCCTGCAAAAAACACAACACAAACACACGTAAATTCGACGGTTCAGAGCTATGCCACGCTGAACAAGAAGGGCATTACTACGTGCAGTCCACCGCTGGGGTCGCTCAACTACAACGTTAGCACCTCGACGCCCTCCTCCTCGTACCATCTGACGCCCCAGCCGATGGAGGTGAGCCTGCTCAGTCCGAATAATCCGTCGGTGACGTCATCGCTGAGCGAGTACCGATTCCGTACCGGGCCGGAGATCGTCACCACCTCGAACCGCATACAGGAAAGTTGTATATAAAGCTCTCAAATCGCATCGCATCGCACACGTAAAATACTTACTTCTGAGTGTACAAACCAAATGATATATATATATAAATGTATACATGAGTATCGTACTATCGTAACGCATCGTATCGAATAATATCCTAGAAGCTAGACGTATTTATTCGCATGGTTTGAGGAAAGACTTCTCCTAGCTCGTAAGCATCTTGTGTACTTAATGCAATGCCAAAAGTGTAACTGCAATACACTAGTTTTGTAAATAATCGTTGTCATCTGTTGTTGTAATTAAGATCCCAAAAAATCGTGATGATGGAATCGAATGAAACTACTTTAAAAGAACATATCTCCTTTTCAACCCACTTCCACTCTGTCCATATCCTGTTGCCCTCATATTCTCTATTCATACCTATTGCATATCCCGATAAAAACCAACCAAAAAAAAAAATACAAATACGATAAATGGGTTCCGAAGACAAACGCTGTCAACTCTTAACATATCGCCGACATCCTAACGCTCGCTAAGCTAACCCGTTGGTCATTGTTGTGCGCCAAATCTGATCGATCTGAGCCAGCCGAATGCAACTAATTTACGCCATAATTAGAATACCAATAAACGTATAAAAATATGTATCCATTTAATCTGAACAGGACCTGCACTCTTCCAGAGTCCCCGGCAGAGTTCTGCGGGAGTCGCATTTGTGAGAATATCATGTCCATATCCTCTATGAAAGTATTACCTATTGATTTTCGTTTTCGATTAACTCAAGTGTTTAAGTATAGCTACCGCATATGTGTATTTAACTAGACCTAAGTAGTTTAAGCATCGTCCTAAGTGTACATAAAACATATTATTATATGGCGATTGGGACTCGATGGTCTAGCTGCCTCGACCCGACCCGACCCGACCCGGCCCGATCCGACAACTGTACATAGTTCATGATTTATTGTGAGGACGTATTGACCGTTCGTTTCAGTGTATGTTGTGTTGCCCCTCTAGGAGTAAATTAAGCATTTATAGAACAATTGCTAGGCCGCAACATATGTACAATTCTTCGGAATGATCCGAAGGAAGAGTGTCCCCGCCAGAAAGCCCGAACTGGAAACCCCAATGGGTGATTAGCGGCAAGTTCTTCCCTGGAACGGGCACCTTCATTGCTTCAGGATAGTATAAGTGCATCTGGATAAATATGTATGTATCTTAGAGAATTGCTGCCTAAAAGCATAACCTTAAAATACGAACAAGAAACGCAAAGATTAGTATAATTTGTCAAGCCTAGTTTTTGTAACTATTAGGAGAAATATTTAATACAATTAAATTATAACTAAATGGTATCAAATCACTGTTTGTTTGTTGTGTTTGTATTTCGCTGGACAACTCGCCGCTTTAATAAGCACTTGGGCAGCAGGAGGTATTGCGGACACGAACCTAACTCCTGCGGCACTAGTACTTAGGAAAGCGACTTCGCAGGAAGTAAGTAAGTACAAAATCAATATTTACCATTGGTTTGGGGTAAGTACTCTGCAATGATACCTCAATTCAAGGCCCAAGTATTTGGCAGTAGGGTGTGTCATGTTTTTGAACCTTGATCCAGGGTTCTTGATCTCTGATCCCTCCAGGGTACCGTGCTCTGCAATGATAAACCAATTAGAGTGAATGTCTTTTCTCCATGGATCGCTCATAATTGACAGCTCCATCCGTTGTGCGGGTCGATAAGAGCCAAGGTTAATGTATTCTGAACTATGCACTTCATCGTTTAGTTTTCAAGTTATTAATATCCATATGAGATACTTAACCTTATGTATGGCAGCTGTCTCTTTAAAATATTCCATTTCTCGTTGTGACTCTCATTCTCGCCCTCGTCCGAAAATATAAATATACTCCTCCCCTCGCTGTCTCACAGATTCTCCGCCTTGTTTGCATGTAGAGATGTGTATCATTGCAAGTCATATACGGCTAGTAACCTCTTGCACATAATACATAAGTTTATTAAATTTAAATTGGCTTAATTGACCCTCATTCGTTTTCCGTTGCCCGATGCCCGATGCCCGATGCCCGTTGTCCGATGCCCGGTATGCCCGTATTCGCCGACAGCGTTCAAAATTGCTCCGTGACAGACGACAACATCGCTGCTGCTTCTGCTTCTGCTGTTGTCGATGTTTCTGTATGAGTTTGTTGTTGCTGCTGCTGCTGCTGCTTTCATTGCTGGAGCATTCAAAGTCAATTGAATTTAAACGAATAAAGCTACACACAATACGACTGTGTGGCAGTCTTATTGTTGCCGCATCGCTCGATTATGACTGCTGTTGCTGCCGGGCCAGAAGCGTCAAGTGCTTGTCAAAAAGCAGAAAATGCGACAGCGTTTATAACCGCTCGCATTCAACAATTTGTCAGCCCAAGATGCACAAACAAAGTACAATAAATAGCTCACTGAATGCATTCATCAGCTAAATTAGAATATACATAGATTAATCAGAGTACAATAACACTTAGTTAATTGAGTCCAGTTTTGCAAGCGGCAATTGGTCTGTTGCTCAAATCTGTTGCATTTCCTGATTTTCGTGAAATGTGTCTATTGTGTCTGTCACGAGGCTTAATTTGGTTTAAAGTTTTCGGAGCTTTGATTAAAAAAGATGGGGATTTACATACGTGGTTTCTGTTTAATGAAAGATTGCAATTTTTAAAACTTACTGCAACATCGCGTTGTTTGTGGAGTGAGAAATTAAATTATCTTAAGATTGTGGTCAATCTATATGGCATACATACCAAGTAATAATTCATGAAGACTGGAGAGCCCCGAGAAGAGAATCGGAAACAGTCTTTGAGAGAGATGCTCACACGCGTAGGAAAATCGCCCTCGATGGGGCTGCTTCTGTAGATGTTGCTGCTGTAGATGTTGCCGCTGTAGCCTGTATTGCTGTTGCCGATCGACGACGAGAACGTTGATTGCGATTATCGCGTCTTGGAAGGGTCTTAACCCCGCTCGGAGAAGTTTAATCATAGATGTATGTACATACTTATATACCATGTCTATGTGCTTATTAAAATTTATAAGCACTTTACAGGAACAGAAATTTGTGAAGCACCGCTTTTAAAACTATTCGTTGAGATTATTCTTCTTAGCTTTTTATATTTATATATTATTTTCACAGTCTGAGGATCCGAGAACGCGGAGAACATTGCCGCTTGAGGGCGAATCCACAACTGATTTGAGCTGTGATCGCGCGGACAGTTGTTGGATTTTTGAAAATAACCATCAATTCATTACAGAGCTCGGCTCTCCGGGTGTGTGAGTAAGTGTTTCAGTGTATACGGGAGTGAGTGTGCGATCGCCCTTATGTGTGTTCAATGAGTGCCACACACACTCATGGCGATTCTGCAACAACAAGAGCGATTTCTCCGCCCACTTTTCACTTTCCACCCCGCACTGCAGTTGATTACTAACTAAGCCGGTCATCTCAACTGTCCCGCATCTCCTCGAATTGAAGCCGAAACTGAAATTGAAATTAAAATTGAAATAGTAGCACTCGCAGCACTCGCCCTCTGAATAGCAGCCTCCTATTCAAGTGAGATTATTTTATCGCACTTCTTGTTTTCAATCTTAAATCACCATCGCCGACGGCTTTTCACACAAAACAGATTGTCCAGATCGAGAATCAGATCCAGGCACCACATAATAGATTAGACCGGTCCCCTGTTCCCTACTTAGTCCACTTCCCTCCAGTTATCCCCACCATCCCCTAACCAGAAAACGGTGGCCAGGGGATTATGTCCATATGCTGGGGAAGATTGAATTTTTGTCCACTTCTGAATCTGGCATTATGCACTTTTAGCGCTTAAGAAGATGATGAATGAGTACATTTATGTGGGTGCCTGGGAGGTGGAAAATAAATTACTTGGATTCTCACACTCATCTGCTGGGTGGATGACACCCATGGTTTATTTAATCTGCAAAGCGTCTTAGCATTTAACGCATATTTTAGTAAGAATTTTACACTTGAATATTTATTTAGCTATATATATTAAATGAACTTAATCTTCCGAGTAGATAAGTTAACAATCTTAGAGTATTCTTGAGTGTGGTATTCCCCTCTTTTATTTTGAAGCGTCAAGAAATCAATTTTTGACCCCATCGGATCAAATGTTACCAATTAATTCCAATTACATATAGAAACGTTTCAGTTACATGTTATCGTGTCAATTAAGAGGCCATTTCTAATTCCTAAATATGATATATAAATTGAATTTACAACTTGGGGAATTTCTCAAGACATTTACAAGCTATTAACTGGTATATATGAGTGCATTTTCTGGGGGCTTTTTAGTATAACTTTTTAAAGCTTGCCCCTGATTAAATGTCCAGCACTGTGATGCTGCCCTAAAAATTAAATATCTTGACTGAATGATGATGCTTAACATTTGATTTGCAGAAAGTAGATACAAGTTCTCATGAGCCTGGCACACAGATTCGTTTTTGAGCGCTCACTTATTGTTAGTTGAGCGAGGAATTTCAATTAATTCAATTGAAGTGAATCGCCAAGTAGGTAGTGGGCATTGTCAACGATAATTTCCATCGTCCGACTCTAGTGTGAAATTGAAATTCTTTCGTAGAACCCGTATTCCTTATAAATTCATCTTATAAGTGTGCAGTTTCCTTATTACGGCGCGCACACATCATCTAATAGGCCGGGAATTGTATGGGCATGTGAGTGTGTTTTCTGGTTCGTGGAGCACGTAACACCGAATAAGCGATTGTTAAAAATTCGAGAGCAGGACAAGTCAACTTAAATAGCTCTTAAGGCTACCGCTGGGATCTAGGAGTACTAAAAATGAACCCTTTCCCCTATCCGGAGTTTTCTGGCCACAAAACCAATAAAAAAGGGACGAGGGCGTAGCGTAACTCTTTCCCTTTGGCGGGAAATGGGGAAAATGAGTACCCACTCAATAGGTACATCGATTTTCGCACACATTGTTGTCTGAATGAAGCAGGGGAGGATTGAGGGAGGAAATGGAGACGCATGAAAAGATTAAGGTGAAATCCACAAATTTGGCGCAAATGAATTTTCTTTTTATGTTTTTTACACATCTTAAATTTTTTATTATTATGCCATCCTTTGTTGTACGTTTTCGATCCTCATTCTATTACAGTTTGCCTCGGTTTCGCCTCGCCAGCTCCCCCAAAACCCCTTGCCCCTTTCCCAATACCTGCCCCTTTTTCCGCTTTTGCCTGCTTTCTCCCTGGCACTGCGAATTGGAGAAATTTGCGTGCGTGTTTTGAATGAAAATTTGTTGCATATTTGCCTGCCTGCTGGCCTGGCTCGACTGCCTGGTTGGCTTTTTGGGTTTTTTGTGTTTTTTCCTGGGCAAATGGAAAAAAATAGACGTGGCAAGTCGAAAGTGGAAATAGTAGGAGAGCAGGCGCCATCTGTACCGCCATCCAGGATGCAGGATACTAAAGCCCCTCTTCTGTCTGCCTCTGTCTGCTGTTGTACAATATATAAACATTTACACACAGCACCACACCGCACCTCCCTACCATCCCACTCCACACATACTATACTATATATACGCATATCGTAAAAAAGTAGCAAATTCCCCTGTTGCGTATGAATTTTTGGCTTCTTCACTGAAGTAGAAAGCATTTTCGCTCTGGGTAAATGTGATTTATATTGATTGTAATCGTGGGAGTGGCGAAGGGAGTCCTGCCCCAGTCAGCCGTTCCCATCCTAACTACAATATCAGTGAGCATCCGACAAACAGCGATTCAGTTTGCAGAAATGAGAAAAAATATATATCCTCTCAATTTGTACACACAATCTATTCTACAGCTATAGTTATGCCCTGTTGTCGTGAGCTTGCCTTTCCTTTGCTAGACTCCATACACTTGCAGAATTATGATATAT